CATCGATGCTCTAAGATAAAGTCAGGCTAAAGTTGCCCAGGCTGGCTCAAAGCTGCAGTCCTCCCACGTCAGCCTCCGTGGTAACTCAGCTGACGGGGATGAGCCATCGCCTCAGCTTCTCTGTAGGTTTCTAACACACTACATGCTGGAGGCCATCTGCCACTACGGCTGACCGCGGAATGCCAACCTGGAAATCCACAAATCAATTAAAAATGAACAAGTACCTCAACAGGTTAAAAAAAAAATTCCACAAGTCATCTGGTCATGTCTCCAGCTCTATTTTAATAAAAACTCCAGCTTCTGATTTCTAGCCTACTTGGAAAGGCAGGAGGGACTCAGTAACAGCATATTCCAGATTCTTCATGTGGTATATTTTACCAGCTTTAACTGTACCAAAAGTGAAAACTCAGGCCTACAAAGCCGCAACTAAAATATATTTGAAAGAAATCCAGAGCCAAGACTAAAATCAAGGCCAAAACGTGCCATTAGTAGGCAAAGAGGCCATAAGAGGTCTCACAGAGCCTTGAAGTCACAAAAGTCACCGCCATGCCATCCCCAAAATTTTGACTTGTATTTCAACTATCTGCCTTCTTTCAGGAAGCAGAGTGGGCTAGATTTATCTTTACTCAGATCATGGAAAGGATGAAATTATTATTTTTCCGGTACCTGGGATCAAACTCACAACCTTGCACTTGCCAGGCAGGCGCTGTGCCGCTGAGCTAAATCCCCAGCCCCTGAAATTATTTATTTGAAGAATGCTGCAGACCAAATATGTTAACACAGCTCCTTCCCCAAGCCCTCTACCTCCTGTGTCTAACACATCCATACTCCACAGCTGCTGAGATAGACTAGAACCTAGAAAGGCAGGCTGGATTCATCACCATAGTCTACAAATTCTACATGTGTTTCACCAAACCTTAACACCCAGCTTTTTCCTGAGACATCTGGACATACCTGGCTCACTTACATGTGACCAGGGCTAAAAATCCTGACTACTAGGCCTCATCGCCGATGCCCAGGATCCACTGCCATACTAGAATATTCTGAAAACACTGCAACAGCCTGAAACCCACTTAGCCCAGTGTACCTGAAGTTAAGACGGTATACCAACCCTCCATGCAGTTACTTAACAGCTGTATCTCCAGCAGCTTTAGATCTTTCACTTTGCTCTTCCTTGTGTGCTTCAGAACAAGAAATACATTAATTCTCTGTTCTATCACCATGATTAATCACTACAGCATTTTAGGTCTAGCACTAAAGGAAGATCAGCTAGGCCCAGGTTATAACTGAACAGTGGAGGGCTTACATTGCATAAGTGAGGCCGTAGGTCCAATCTCCAGCGTAAGAAAAACAAAAACAAAAAAAAAACACAAGACACACAAATCTGCTAGATCTCTTGAAAGAACATATGGGAGACCGGATGGTTAATGAGACTGTATACAATGGTTGATGCTATTTTAAGAATAGTAAAATAAGAATAGTAAAATAAGCCTTAAGCAGTGGTTTGCTGCATTCAGCATGGGAGACAGAGAAGAGCCTAGCTGCTTTCCCCAAGTCTTGTGAGAATATGAACTACTTGTAACTCAACTCTAGCCATGAACTCCAGGTTTCTGTTTCTCATAAAAACAAAAGGATGGGGCTGGACATGGTGGCACATACCTGTAATTCCAGCGCTCAGGAGGCTGAGGCAGGAGGATCACTGCAAGTTCGAGATTAGCCTGGGCTACTGAGTTCAAAGAGCCTGAACTGCATAATGAAACCCTGCCTCAAAAAGACAAAAATAAAA